TATTCGCAGATACGCATTCTTTACCAGGTCTGATTCGACCCTAAGTCTGGGTTGCTCTGCTCCGGACGGGTTTGACTTACCACTTGATATGGCCATGCCACTAGCAGATAAACCGCACCTTCTGCAACCAAATTCAAAACGCCAGGAACTGTTTGCCAATCTACCACTGCACGCAGTACCTACTGCTAAAAACAACGCAGACAAAAGTAACACTTCCCATCAGGGATCTATTGACCAACCTCCAACTAGGTTAGGCTTCTCAAATTTTATGAAAGCTGATACGCCAGCAAATGAGAATGATGTCAGTCAGCGCATAACAGAATCTGAAAATAATGTTGAAACTATCGAAGTAAAAGAAGACAGCAGATCTTATAAGGACGACGACACTGGAGACTCAAATATTTACGTTCAGTTAAAGAAAAAACAGTGCTTGGATGATTCAAAATCACATAAAGGGTCTGAAGGTAAGTTTCCTTTTTCCTTTAATTCGGTTAGGCGAGCGAAATTATAATGCTTAATGTGAAAAATTCATTTTTGTTCAATAGCTGCTAATTCATACTCTAAAGATCATATTGATTCAGAGGATGTACAAATGATCGATGTTTCGGCGGGACCTAGTACATCAACAGATATTTTAATAACAACTCGTCCAGAAGTTATTATTGCACCAAGCCAAAGTCGCATCAGGGATGAAGTGTCACCAATACAGAGCTCTTTATCAGTATCAGCAGTTCGTAGTGTTATTGTTCGAGCTGGAACATCGAATCTGAAACTTGAATCGGACGACAATAGCTTACCCGAATGCAAAAACTCAACCGCTGCTTCCACACCACACCATCTTAAATGTGATAATTGTCAGGAGAAGTTGCCATCGCAGACTGTTATGTTTCCCATCCGTGGCTCTTTGTTTTACAAGAGTAGTTCTTCAGAGTTGCCATCATGGAACTTTCTGCTCAGTCGGTGGAAATTGGCTCTTGATCTTTTTGGACGTGTTTTCATGGATGACGTGGGTATGGAACACGGATCTGTATTGCCAGAATTGAGAGGTTTCCCAGTGAAGGAAATGCGCTTTAGACGACATATGGAAAAACTGCGCAATGGACAACAGCGAGACTTAGTCCTCTGTAAGCTTGAGCGAAATAGGGAAAGCCTAATAATCCAAACCTTTAAGGAACTAAATGCTCAATTCGGCACACAAAATCGACGAGCTCAGCCACCTATAACATTTAACAGAGTTAAGGTGACATTTAAGGACGAGCCCGGTGAAGGTTCAGGAGTTGCTCGCAGTTTTTACACTTCCATTTCGGAAGCGTTGCTGGCAAGCGCAAAAATGCCAAATCTTGATTCTGTGCAAGTGGGTGGTACACACAGCAAATATGGAGTACCTTTCTCGAGCATACTACGCAGCCGAACCGTATCCGGTTCAAGTCGTGATCCCCCGACATTGCAGCGACGTGGAACCGGCAGCAAAATATTGTGGCGTACAGCTCGAGAACGAAAAACATTAAATGTAGATGCTAGACCATATACTCCATCGTCTAGTACAGGTAAAAATGCAACTTGTCAACACTTAAGAGAATTTTTATATATATTCTTTAATCCACTGTTTATTTAGATAATAACACGGCTGAGGGCTCAAACGAACATTTATCTGTCCACCTACAACAACTTGGCGAGCGTCTGTATCCCAAGGTAAGTAAATGATTGAGTAACCTTTAAACCAAAGCTATAATTTTAATGTTTTCTAGATCCACTCAATAAACTCGGTGCACGCTGCAAAAATAACTGGCATGCTACTGGAAATACCCACTCCGCAGCTTCTATCAGTTCTGTCTTCTGATGAAACGCTTCGGCAAAAAGTTAACGAGGCGGTTGAGATAATCAACTTTAAACTGAAATCGGAAATAAACATGCAGAGCCAACAGAAAAAATCACCATCTGCTGCAACTGAACCGATAGAAGACGATAATGAGCCATTATTTTACTCTCCGGGTAAACGTGGCTTTTATACTCCACGACAGGGTCTTGCGTCATTCGAACGTATTAATGCATTTAGAAATATTGGCAGGTTAGATCACAATTATTTTTGTTAGATATATAGATTTGTAATCTATTTATTTTATTTTTTCTTAGACTTATTGGGCTATGCCTTTTGCAAAATGAATTGCTCCCACTGTTCCTTCAAAGACATGTATTAAAATATATGCTTGGCCGAAAAATTAAATTTCATGACCTCGCATTTTTTGATCCAGCCTTGTATGAATCATTTAGACAGATCATACAAAATGCCCAAACAAAGGAAGGAGAAGAAACCATCAACCGAATGGAGCTTACTTTTGTGTAAGTATCCAGTGGACCTTAATCTATCATTAATGTACATGTATTCAAACTATGTTTTTCTATTTACCATAGCATTGATCTGATGAAAGAAGAGGGTTGTGGCAACCGTGAATTGATACCTGGCGGACGTGATATACCCGTAACGTCGAGTAACATACTTGAATATATTAGACGTTATACTGAATATAGGCTCATCAAGTCACAAGAAAAGGCTCTTGAGGTTAGACATACAAAACTCATTCTATTTCTGTATTCATTAACAGATGTGTTTGCAGGCTTTAAAGGATGGTATTTTTGATGTTTTACCGGACAACTGCATGAATAGCTTGACTGCGGAGGATCTACGTTTACTCTTGAATGGTGTCGGAGATATCAATGTTTCAACACTAATTTCATATACAACATTTAATGACGAATCGAGTGAAGGCCCTGACAAGCTATTGAAATTTAAAAGATGGTTCTGGAGTATTGTTGAGAAAATGAATACGCTAGAGCGCCAAGATCTGGTATGTGTTAGTTAATTATCTTAGAATAAATTTGCTTAATTTATGGTTATTCCAGGTATATTTCTGGACAGGATCACCAGCTTTGCCAGCCTCAGAGGAAGGCTTCCAGCCCCTACCATCTGTCACTATTCGACCAGCAGATGACTCTCATCTTCCTACTGCAAACACTTGTATATCCCGACTGTATATTCCTCTCTATTCCAGCAAATCAATTTTACGTAGTAAAATGCTGATGGCCATTAAATCCAAAAATTTTGGATTCGTTTAAGCAAATTATTACCAATTTCTGGTTTACGTTATTTTTGCCGTATGTTTGCTTATGCGAATTGTTCTTATATTTTTGGTATTTGATAAAATTTTTTAAATATGACTATTCCACATTTGTAACCAAACACACATATGTATGTATCTCCATTCCTTCAATTTGGTTCTGACATTATAAATATTGCAATAGTTCTGGTTTAAGATAACGTCTTTGAAGAGGAATTCATAAGGTCATTCATTCCTTCATACAGTTCGACTGGATAACAAAAACTAAGGAAATGTTAAAATGAACAAAGATTAAGATGTAGGAGTTAGGTCAAGTTTGCTTTTATTATTACATTTATTTAAATGTAGGAAATGTAATAAACTACAATATATAAATATGTATATTAACCAGGGAATAAATCTATAATGGTAACCTAAATAAAAAATAAAAATAAAAATATTAACAATAGTGTTTTATTTAAAAGCTTTTGGTGTATGAGTATAGTAAGTCTATTACTTTTATTTTGTCACTTGTTATCAGATGCGTGTAGACATGGGAATTTCCCAGAAACATGTCAATCTGAACAATACGCATATAGCAAATAGTCCAACTTACATTACTATATTCGTTAACCAACAGTGAAACAAAGACTCAGTTATATCAGTGCGGGTCATGAATTACACATTCATGTCTGGCTGCAGTTGTTACACATTTTGTTGGTAACTTATCAGATGAGCGCAGTTATAAAACAAGTAAAATATTCTGCAATTAAAGTACCTGGCTTGGATCGGCTCAGTTTGTAGACGCAGATTCCATTTTTATTGAGTTTTGCAAGAAATCATCTGACCTAAATGTGAATCAAACTATTTGTATATTCAACAACGGATCCCGCAGGCAATTAGTTTCTTTTATTTTCGAAATGTAAGATTGTGATGGTTTTATAATATTACTTTAAAATCAACAAATTTTAATCACATATAAGAGGCATGACAGCTTCAAAGCTTAATACTTTTCAGCATTTAAAAATATTGTGTAATCCAATTTCTAGGGTACTTTTTCCATGTTCCAACTAACTAATCTTTACATAAAGCAATGGTGAAAACTAATATACTCACTTCATATTATATCTGCTTTCTGCAAATGAAGTGGACATATATAATGAACCGTTATTAAAGACCCTACTATTGAAGGGCAGCAGAATGAAATATTTGCATCCTGGCTTTGACCTACATTTGCGAATAATTTATTATGCCTTGAAGAACTAATCGTATAGAGCCTAGATTCATGATCGTGATTATATTTCATTCGAATCGTCTATTGCGAATCGAATCGTCTATGCGAGCCCCTAGCTGGACGTCTGTTTATGGTAATCATAAATATAAATATGCACAAGACTTCTTTTGCCAGCCGCATACTTTTGAGCAGCTGCAGTCGCTGCACTCCTTGGGTATGCGCGTAGGGTATAAAGAGCGCAAATTAAAACGAATATATAATACAATGGAGCTTTTTCTTTTCTTTTGAGGCATAGTTGAAATATTTACGTTTTTCAATTAAGACTAATTTGTTCTACAAATTGGATAGTGAAAGTTTTGTAACTCGCGACAATTCCAAAAGAGTTCGAAGCGGCTACTGCACGTATCGAGCAATCTGACAAACACGTAGCGGGTATGCAGCGCTTTCTTGCATACTTAAGTGAGTCCGCACCGAAAACGAAATAATCATTTATACATGCCAATCCCTCAATTGCATGTGTGTGTGTGTGTGTGTGTGTGTGTGTGTGCAGTATCGACCCCAAACTCTTACATCCGTGGTTTAAAACATACTACTCGCCATACGCAACGTTCATTTCAGTTTTGGTTACGACTCCACGCATTTCTTGGCTCTCAGTGCACCAAAAATCAAAAATGAAACGGAATTTCGTGATATTATTCGGGTTTGTGCTGTGCACAGGTGCATGGGATATATCCGCAGGGCAGGACACCTATACGGATGCTTTGCAAAACTCACATAACACAGATCATGGTGTGTGAATCTTACATAACTGCGCCTAAAACAAACATTTATAGAAAGCACGAAAGCGGTGAACTGTTTAAAAAACAAAAGTGAAAATCCCTTCTCTCCTCTCCTTCAGCTCGATTGTGGTTGAAAGTGAAATTGATGTATGGAAGTGCATTTGAAGTATAATAAAATGGTCTTAAACGACTTTCCATTATATGAATCAATCAATCCTTACAAAAAATATGAAGGCTGATTAGACGTATGTCAAAGACGAGGCCTAGGTCTAATACTTCGATGTGCTTTGAAATAAGTTTATGTGAAAATAACATTTACTGTACATAAAATATATTTACTGTTTTAAGTGTTCTTTATTTATTTGTTCGTTCTTTAATCATGATGAGTACGAATTATTCCTTCGTTGTAATGAAATGATATTGGTATTATACAATTTACATTTCATACTTTATAAAGACTAATTTTTATATATTTGAAATATATGCTAATCTATTGTGTCTCTAATTTGTTCATAGATGGTCTTGGCGGAGGCTATCAGTATAACCCGCCACCAGATAATAGCTATTTGCCCCCAGATAATAGCTATTTGCCTCCAGCGCCAACACCCCCGGCTCCAGTCTACGGTCCTCCGCCCGTCCCATTCTACAACTCCCCCCCGCCAGTGTACTATAAGCCCGCTCATCCTATACCATATCAGGCGCACGATTCAATTTTAGCAAAGCTTAAGTCTAAAATAAGTCTGCTAACTCTCGGCAAGATCGTCTTGAAACTCTTAATATTCAAGAAAATAGTTAAATTTATCGGCATCATTTGCTTGCTGCTCGTTTTGCCCAAGCTGAAGCATATGTTCACCGATAATATGTCAATGGAAGACGAAATCAACAGCAAGCACGTGGAAACGGATAAGGGTAAGGCTTAAGGAATGGGAGTTCATTTAAATATATATTTTAATAAATATTTTATTTCCAGAAAAACTTCAAAAACATATTGATAGTGTGTATGATTTTATAATGAGCTCCATTCAAGCCTTTGAGGAAGAAACTACATAACAGTTTGATAATAGTTTTAGATTTGTATCTGCAAGAGTATTATTTATTTATTTATTGTAAATTTGTTTTGTTTTTAAAAACGAAATACCTATTTATGTAAACAAATAAAAAAAAATTCAAGTTAACATCGTATATCGGAAATATTTATTCCCTGACCATTAGCAACCCAAGATATAAAATATATAAACGTATTGTACGCGATAAATTTTATTAAACACAAAAAAACACATGTAACAGAAGTAGTTCAAGACAAATTGGTTGAAATAATACTTAATTTCTGTGAAATGAATGTTAATTTGTATGATGATTTTAATAATCATTTCGCCGATTTTAACGAATAAATTCTGTCAATATTTATATTTAAATTCCATGCGGAACAAGTATTGTATATTGACCTGTGCAATGTCATACACAATAAACTCATTGTACAACAACGAAGACTTTAACTTATCATCGGTGATGGGCTTTCCCAGAGGTATTTCAACTCCATCATCTCGAAAATGCGACTCTTTGGGATCGGGCATCGTGCGGCCGTGGCCAAAGCAGCTGTGTTTGCCCTTGGGCAGCTCGGTTACATACTTGGCAGCCGTGCATTCCATCATGTCGCCCAAGGCCACTTCGGACAGCATCATAAGACCTGTAGAGTTCTGCTGACTGGTGCAACAATAATTGGCCGACTTGGACACCATGTCTGCGAAATAAATGCCCTTGCCAAACATATAGCCTGTTGGTGGGGCTTCGGGTGGCGCAATTTTCAAGCCGTGAGACAAAATTCCCACAAAGTTTGTCAGACGCGAACCGTGCCAAAGCAATTTTCGATTATGTAGCTTCTTGAATGGCTTAAACCGACGAGCTTCACCTTGACGGGCTACCTTAAAGACGTCAATTATTTCCAGCTCGTATGAACTATGTGTAGATGCATGCGTATTCTGCACGTAATTTTTGAGTAGCTTAAACTCGTCACTCTTTTTATCGATCGGCTCCAGTTGTGTTTTCAACTTTTCGTAATGCTTGTCTAATGGATTCTTTTCCTCCGAAGTATCTTCGTGCTTTATTAAATTGTAAGCAATCTCAATCTCAGACAACGAATCCAACATTTGCCTTAAGCTCTCCACCTGCTCTATGGTTTCAATCAACGGTGGCGCATGGACTCCGAAGCTGTGAGGAATCAATGTGTAGAACCGATTAGTGGCATCAATAAATCTAGCATTGGACCCGCTTAGCTGAATCAACTCGTAAATTTCATTGACAACAGTATACGCTGACTGAATTTGCTTCAAGCTCAGTTTGCCCAATGGCATTTTTTCCATATCTATGTGAAATTCCATCATTGTTTTTTTCATAGTGTCGACATCGAATATAAGCTGTACTAATTTCTGAACCGCAGGATCCAGTTTAGATGGAATATTATCAAACTTAGATTGTTTTGATTCATCACCCGCATCGTATTGAACATCAATCGGATACATTCGACCCGGCATTTTGACAAAATTATTCCTGTTCCTAAAATCATTGCCTGTCTTATCTGCATACACATCGAAAAAGCATTGCTTAGCATCGATTAGTGAATGGAAGTCCTCCAGTTTTGAGTTGCCAATAGTTGTGCCAATACGACCCCAAGACCGATAGACCCAATACCTATATATAACAATTTGGAAAGGTATTTTAGATACTAGTATTGAAATGCTATAATTCAATAACTTACTTATTTTTCGTGTCGGCCTCCAAAAGTTGTAGTTTATAAAACGAATTTTTGTTTCGTTGTATGTCGGTTAAGCCAAGTACAACGTTATATTTATCGTCACCTTTGACATAGACGTGCGCAACATTTTCCAGACCACTCCCGGGGTCAACTACCAGTCCATTCTTCATTTTAAGAGTAACCGACTTTGGTACCGACTTTGTGTAAATACTCTTTGACTTCGAGCTCTTTATTTCATCTTGAGGCAATCGAGCGGCTGGGTCTGTTCCCCAGTCACAAAGGGTCATACTGCTTATAAAGTTGAGGGCGCCACTGCTGTCAGACTCGACGCAATCAAGGTACTTCATAGGAACTATGTGTATGCCAAGCTCCTTCGCTTTAGTTATACGAGAGCTCAACTTTTTTACTTCTTTTTCTGTGGAAATCACAGCAATGGTGCCGTCTGTGATCTTGCTGTCACACTTTCCTCCCAGCTTAACGATTCGTTTTTTAATTTCCTCCTCTTCTTCCTTTAAGCCCACAACTGAGAATTTAAAGTTATATAGCGCAGGCTTTTCTCGTTTAACTTTAGGACTGCAATAAAAACGAAAGCGATGTTTTCAAAACAAATATTTCAATACAGATGTATCAGTTTAGGGATGTCTAACAAGTATTCTTTTGAATTAAATAAATATTTATGATCTAACTTTACGGAATTGAACGCTTAAAAACGTGCAGAGACAAACAATAAATTAATAAACATACATACGTTTGCAAAGCATGCAAATAATTTCATAATTGCCTGATTGCTTACCCATCAAGTTCATCTGGATTTTTCTTTATGGCAATGTCCTTAGCAATAGTTGCTGCACTTGGAGGAATGTACTGAATAATACGCGTTTCGGGTTTTTTTTTGTAGGAACTCAAAAAACTATACTCGGACTTCAATTCATCTGGGATTTTGCATGCAGTGCGTTTGGGCTCAGTTAATAGCTGCGTGCATTTGGTCCATTCAGAGATATTTCCATTGCAAGAATAACCAGATTTGTTGAATATGAATTGAGTACTCTTGCACTCCGGACAGGGCTTTATAGCGCCAAAGGCCATTAGATCTGCTGCTTGATCTAGCAGCTTTTCCGAGTCACCAGGAATGGGCTCCTGTGTATTATATCTCAATAACTTTTCAATATCGTGCTTTTTCATTTCTTTCTTTATATTATCCCGATATTTAAACAGAACATCATTTTGTTTCTGTAGTTTCTTCATCTTTTCTTTTTCCTCGGCTTCTATATTTGGTTCCAGTTTTGGCTTCTTGACTTCAGGCATATCTTCAGATTTAAGCACTCTGTAAATTATTTATTTCAAATATTGTTTTAATATTAATTTCCTCCTAAACTACAGATATATACAATAACAAATAACGTTTTACTCACGGTAGAGTCTTTAAGACTAGTTCCTTATCCTCCTTTTTCAATGACTTATATCCGGGTAGATTTTCACCACTATCAAACCACCCGATATCGGTGCGCATTTGGGCAAAGCACTCCAAATGATGCCAAACCTTTTGCCCGCCGTATTTCATTCCAACTTCAGTATCGTAAACGGTTTTTGATACCCTAATTTCGTCCTTGTTTATTTTTAACTCACAGCCACGACATCCTGCGCGACTTGATTTTGAGTACTCAATACTAAAATCTTTAAGTGCGGCCTGTTCGGCCTTCGAACGTTTGCCCGATTTGCTGGCAACAACTACTGGTCCAGACCCTGAAAACGATGGATTGATTACAACTCTACTTTATCCCAAAACATTGAGTAAACCAACCAATCATTTCCTTAATTTCAGTTTGGTCTGCGAATCGCAAATTTTCAAAGTTCTTAATATCCCCCACAGAAGCCGGCTTTTGCTTCTTAAAAAAGCAATCCTTGTGAAACCAATTTGGCGTTTTCCCATCATGAAAGGCGGACTACAAATATGAAGATACAAATTGCAAAGTCAAATAAAATTACAATTGAGATGGTATATATGCAATTAAGCTATTCGATGGCTTGAATATATAACACATAATAATTAATAATGTTATAAGAGCGGCAATTCGAGTTGGATTTGTGTGATCGGCAATATCGCTTTCCCTGTGCGCTCTTCACATGTACTTCTCATGTGATGTGCTGATTCCATAAACGAGGCCTCAAGTTGCCAATAGGATTTTCGGATCCAATGAACGAATTTCGTGCATTTACATACATATGTATGTAAATATCAAGAAAATAACGATTTTGCCCTTAAAACAGAAAATTTTATTTACTTGTAAGTCGACTGGTCACGGTATTATCAATCGGAGATAATTACTTCGTCAATGAAGATTGTTATTAATTAATAAAACAATCGTTGATAGATCAACTCAAAATCGCAGTCAAATTATTGTTATTACGTTGCCGGGTATATGGTCGACTAGAAATGTATTGACATGCATCAACATGTCAGTTGCTTGAATTTCACCATCATTCCGATACGTACTACTACAAATGTAAATCGCTATTGATTCGGTACATAGTTGATCAAATATTGTTGCAATTCCTAACAAGTTAATTAGACTGGTTTTATTGTATATTGTTATAGTCTTAGTGGGTTATTCCAAATTGCACTGCCAAACAACTTTACATGCATCAACTTACCTGAACCATCACAGCAATCCTTACAACATCCTTTGGAATGAGAGTTTTGCATCCTTTACAAGAAGCTCGACCTGTTTTTGAATATTCTACCATGTAGGGCAACTCGACATCCATCTTTCAAGTTTATTTTTGAAGTATAAGTAATGTATTTCGCTACAAGCAAATTTAACCGCTAAATCCTCTAATGAAACGCCAACTTTTATATCGATACATTTTATACAAATCTTACATCGATAAAAATAAATGAATGATCATAGTTTTCTTTTGAAACTACGGAATAAAACAATATCAAAATATACGGGAATCGTATTGTATATATATGAAATCTTACAAACAAAAAATCATAGTTTTTAATATATAAATATATATTTCAATTAATAACATGATGCGAATATGAGACGGGTTTTACTTAATTATAGTAGTTAATGATTGAATTGTGGGTTTCTAAATAATGCGACCTACGTAAAATATATATTTACATATGTATAAAGACTCCAAAACATTACATACTTTGACAACTTAATTGCTAGTTACTCAATTGATTTATTATTATGATGAGTAGCTACAAGTTAATTATAGAACCATAATTTTCTTGCGAACGGTGACATATTTTATTTCATAACTGTATTTATTTGCATTTACATTTTATTTTATTTTATTTTTATATCAGCAACTTAAATCTGAACTAAACTTTTAAGGTGATACATTTACAATTTTAATGAAAATAGAATATTAAGATAACAACGGCATTTAATTTACTTTTTAATTCATGGACATTCCCTAATCTTATCATCGTTTAAAACAAATATATCGATGTATTGACTTATCGATGTATTTTTAGTGCAAGTATAAAAATCCAATATTTGGAAATTACTAAAGGGATTAGATTGTGGGCTAGAAGTATTTAATTAAGTATTATACGTAATTTACGCAACAGTAAAATGACCGAAATATGTGAACCGCTGACCCTGGCCAGAGGTTAGATTATTCTTTGCCCAGAAAATATCCACATTGATTCTAAATATAAATCAATTCTTTTTCAGACGTCAAGAGGTCTATAGAGCTATTAGAAAAACTTCAGGCCAGCGGAGACTTTCCCACAACAAAATTGGCTGCACTACAAAAAGTTCTTAATTCTGATTTCTTGAACTCTGTTCGTGAAGTCTATGAACATGTTTATGAAACTGTTGATATACAAGGCTCACACGATGTTAGGGCGTCTGCAACAGCTAAAGCAACTGTGGCTGCCTTTGCTGCCAGCGAAGGCCATGCCCATCCTCGAGTGGTTGAATTGCCTAAAACTGAGGAAGGTATGTACATAAGTTGTATGTTATCATCGACAAAGAGCTGTATGGATTGTGTAATGTCTTGTGTATAAAATAATTATAAATTTTTGTGTGTAAATATGTTCACCAAAGACTCTTCATTTAGATGGGGACTGCACCAATTTTTACTAAATGATATACCTATCGTATCATATGTATTAAATATTCGTAAATCAAAACAAGCTCTGAGCATATGAAATTGAAGGAGAACAATATATATAAATGAGGATTTCAATGTTTTTTCTAATCTATTTTTGTTTCAGGATTGGGCTTCAATGTGATGGGAGGCAAGGAACAAAATTCTCCCATTTATATCTCTCGAATTATCCCAGGTGGTGTTGCTGATAGACATGGAGGATTAAAAAGAGGAGATCAGCTGCTTTCCGTTAACGGAGTGGTAAGAAAACTATAATTAAAGAACTTTGCTTAGCTTATTAGTCAGCGACATACATATCTCTTCAGAGTTAATATGTCGATATTCAGCTAAATTAAGACTATGATTTTAAGTAATGCTTATGGGGGATGACTATGTGTTTAAGTCATCATAAAATAACTAAACCTTTTTATATTTTACATTTCAGTCTGTTGAAGGCGAAAATCACGAGAGAGCGGTTGAATTATTAAAGCAAGCGATTGGCTCCGTAAAACTTGTTGTACGCTATACGCCTAAAGTTCTTGAAGAAATGGAAATGCGTTTTGACAAACAACGTAATACCCGTCGTCGTCAATAAAATTTATAATTTATGCATTACCTTAACGAATATTACAATATGATTTATGAATCTCATATAAATGATAAAATTCGTTCGGCCATTACGAGAACTATTGCCTATTAATCCAAATGGAGTGAATGGATGTTTACGAGAATTTCTACAATATGGAATGCTTAAAGTCTTGGGTTATTCGCGTTATTCTTCACGAATATTTCGATGTAACGTTTCCCTTTTGAAGTACTTATTTTGGTGCCTAATATTTTATTCGTTGAAATACAAAATTTGGAAAGTATTAAAAACAACTGCCATGCAACAACTCTACGATATTGTGGATCCGAAAACTGTAAGCTTATATCCCGTCAAAAACGTACGCTATCTACATCTATCTTGAATACTGACTAATGCAAGTAGGCAGAAAAGATTAACTTTTTAATGGAACAAAAATTTAAAAATTCAGTAGAAGTTATTTGGTCAGAGTACGTACACCGACGTTCCGTAGTGGATATCAACACAAAGTAATGCCGCTTACCAAAAGAAAAATGATATTTTCTTAGCAAATTACATATACAATATACTTAAATCGTTAATTAACCCTTGTCGTTCAATGTATAACTTTAAATAAGCAAAAGTTTCACTTTTCGATTAAAATATGTTATGCAAATACCAATGTCCACTAATCTAGCTAATGTCTCTCGTTTTGTATTGAAAACTATTCCATAATCAATAAACCTACTTTTAATAAATATAAATAAATACATTGCTTTGCTATCAATCGAAGTGATTATCGAATAATATCTAAACTGTATGCATTTACTAATAAGGCTATCAAAGAAGCTGTCTTGAATATGTAAACCTTACTGTTACAACATTGCCTAAACCACAAAAGTACAGAATTTTCTACATTTGGGTGCTCAGCATGTTTCTGACGCTTCAGTTTACCATACGATGGTGTGTTAAGCATAAAATCTCTTTTTTGTAAAATTTACGGGATTGCTGATGGAGCGATATTAAATTGTTTTGCCATGTACATTTTGTTTTTTGTTTTTTTTTTGTCAATGGCCAAAAAAAATGTTATTAACCATAGAATACATATACCGAACAAGTGATGTAAAGCGTTTTGCACACTTCTTTTCGAGCGTTAGTTCCCAGACCACTTCGTATTTGCTCGGCTCCTCAGTTTTAGGTTCGGGCTACGAAAACATGGGAACAAAAATTCATTTCTCTGTGTTCTATGGTTAGTGATAATGTCTTGCTAGAGCTGGGAAACCATCGATGGAAGGCTCCATCGATGGTTTTCCCATCGATGGAAAAAATAATCGATTATATCGATGGTTCCATCGAAAATTTTTTCCTTTTAAATWTTAAACGTTATTTGTATAAAAGTCGTACTTTTCATAATAGAAATAAATGTAAATAAAGCTCTTGTAATTTCATACTTTTCCTTGTACATATTTACAGAATAAGAATAAAGAGTATAAACAAATATAGAGAAAATATAAAAGTTTAATTCATTAAATCTTCATTTCCAAAACATAACACAAATTCAACATAACGATTTGAAAGATAACTTAAATATAAAAGAGATCCATTTTCTTTCTTATCGACAAAATAAAAACAATAAAAATATAACAAATTAATAAAGATATAGTAAATATTCAATATTTACTAAAATAAAGTAATACTAAAATATTAATTAGTCATAACACAAATTCAACATAACGATTTGAAAGATAACTTAAATATAAAAGAGATCCATTTTCTTTCTTATCGACAAAATAAAAACAATAAAAATATAACAAATTAATAAAGATATAGTAAATATTCAATATTTACTAAAATAAAGTAATACTAAAATATTAATTAGTCATAACACAAATTCAACATAACGATTTGAAAGATAACTTAAATATAAAAGAGATCCATTTTCTTTCTTATCGACAAAATAAAAAATAAAAATATAACAAATTAATAAAGATATAGTAAATATTCAATATTTACTAAAATAAAGTAATACTAAAATATTAATTAGTCNTTTTTTAATTCCGTTCATTAAAAATTTGCATGCATCACTGCCAACAGATGTCTTCATATTTGGCAACAGCAACTCTAAAGATTTGGTCAAAGCCAATATTGCCGGTATGACCAGCGAAGCCGTTACAGTTTTAGAAGCCGATGTGTGCTTTGTTGCCGTCTCAAACGGCTCCAAAACAGAGCATAAATCTTGTACAATGCGGAAATGGTCTTCAGATAGGGGAGTAGGCGCATTTTGCGATTTTAAAAGTGTCGCAATAAGCGGCTCCCTTGTCTGTAAGACCCGTTGCAGCATATAGAACGCGCTGTTCCACCTTGTCGGCACTTCTTGCAGCAAATTTAAAGGGCTGTCAGTATTTTGAGCGTTCTTAAATTTTGCGGTTGCAACAGAGCTGCTCTTAAAGAACGTGACAATTCTTTTGACACTGCTGACAATTTCTTTTATAAATACTTCACCCATTAAATCCTGAACAACCAGGTTTAGCGTGTGTGTGAAGCAAGGAAAGTGTCTTTTTTGTAATATTTCACACGCTCGTATCATGCTGGCTGCATTGTCCGTTACAACTGCTGTGATGTTTGATTTGTTACTCAAAGCGGCGATATATCGATATCGACAAAAGTCMATCGATATATCATAAMAATTAAARTCCATCGATRTAATCGATGGTTGCATCGATGGTTTCCCAGCTCTATGTCTTGCTCTTGCGCGATTGATTAGGTTTTATGCGTACGTCTATTTGACACTTTTAAGACGTGATGTTGCGCTTAGAATACAAATCGACAAGATAAACAAAAATGGTGTCAGAAGCGCAAAATTGAACATGCACAGCGACATAAGTGTGGCAAAAGTTTTCAAGGAGATCGAATCTTTCCGATTTGTCTCGATTTTTGATTTAGCGGGGTACAAATTATCGAGATTTAACTGTATATTATATATAAAGCAATACGTTTCAATTAATATGAAGAGAGTTTTACCAAAACAGCATTACAACAACCAACAAAATCGCCATTTATTGACATCAAACGATGAGGAAACAATTGCTTTAAAAATCGATTGTGGCGCGAGCATCGTCGTGTGGTGTGATTTTGTTCCGAAATTGCACGTCATCTACAGCCATTTCGATGACTCTTTAGGCCCATAATACTCCACGAAACTTGTCCGCAGTCCCGCTTTTTACCGGCCCAAAATATTTCGTGCAAACGTTTCATGGCGTTCTTAGCAGGCGCACTTTTCACATTATTTTATTTTTTATAGTTTTCACAATTGACTTGTTTTGTTCAATGTAAATTTAAACAATTTGGGTAAGTTAGCGTGGCGTATACTGATTCATTTGGACCGAAGCTTTCAAAGCTATATGTCTTTAAGCGACCTTACGTCTCTGCCAAAGGATATACATAGGGCTGCCAGATGGATCCGTCGAATAAAGACAGAGCTATATTGGATTGATATTAGACAGTTACTAATAAAAAAATATCAAAATATTCCGTTGAATAATTTGAATATTAATATTCTAAAAATATTGTATGTATTAAATTTAATTGTAAGAAAACGACTAAGTTTAATTGATGCAAAATATTTTATTTTACAAATCGTACATTGATATTTTTACAACATTCGGAAAAGAATAGCGTTCTAAGGGCTACATTAAAGGTCTGTACAACAATAACATTTCAAAGAAAGCTTAGTTTGAGATGGGTAATCAATCTGGAATATATATAGAGATAATTTAGGGCATTTCTGAAAACGCAGTACTAAAAGATGACAATATCAAATACATCTGGTAGACAAACCATGATCCAAATAACCAAATAACCTAATAAATGCAAGCTTGGAAAGTGATCTCTCTTTTAAAAATATGCATATGCAATCGTTTTCTTAATACATTCATTAGTTAATCGAATTCAGAACATAACAGACTTTTTAATTTGAAGTGCGGTATAATCTTTCCTAATCTTCTAATTTGCAGGAGGGCATACCCTTAATACAAAGAATCTGAATGTTTTCAATTCAACGAATAATATTTTACTAACGACAGTACTATCGATGTTTGAAATACTATAAAATTGATGTATCGAAAATGCAACCTTGTTATTGCGAGTAAAAACATCTGTGTGTGAGAACAATAGCAAATGCAATATTTTGACTTTTTAGGCAATTTTATTTATTTTAAGTAGTAACGTTAGTATTTTGAAATACATATAATGTTTACATGAGCGCGCAAACAATTTCAATACTTAATATATATATCTTAATTCCCACAACAACAAAGATATTGGTACAATTAAGGTCATGGGAAGTATTGAAAAGGCTTGCATTTCCGGATTTCTTTGCCGCCTTTGCTCAGAAATGCATAGAACAGTTATACACATATATGGAGACCATGGACAACGATTATGTCTTGTCGAAAAAATCAATGGCTACTTGCCAATTACTGTAAGTGCACATACACAAATATGTATACGGATGTTGTCCGGCTCATGCAATAATTTTGTTTAGATATCTCCTACTGATCCATTGCCAAAAACCATTTGTAAAACTTGTTTATATCGGGTGGAACAGCATTACACCCTGTTAATGAGACTCACACGTATGCGGGAAGAACGCAAACTCAAATTACTAGGCTACAAATCACAAAGGGAAGCAGTAAGTATAGTTCAATTCATAAATTTTCTAAGACCTTGACGGCATGTTTTTATTTGTTTGACAGGAAAACTTCTCAATATCTAGCGTCGAATGTTCCGATGACGACGAAGCAACATCCACAGGAACAAATAATACACCTGGCGCAGCTGCAAACCCCAGCCCTGATAAGTCTACAACTTCGATTCGGAGTAACAGAGACAGTACTAATTTAGAAAACGCAGGGACAAGCAGTACTCAATCCAATGTGACTACTGCTCCGATTACTTCAGAACATGACCCACAAGAACTTTATCCAACGACTTAGAAGACTACTTTTTATTTATCTTTGTTTAACCTAACCAAGCACCATTTTCATATGTACGTATTATTGATAAATTAATATATATATATATAATATCAATGTTGTGTGAACTTAATTTTTTATGTACTTGCAGACTATATAATTTTGTCATAAATTGTATGTATATTACGTGTCTATATCATTATTTGCATTAGGGGTGGCACGCATTGTGTCGAAAAGACATTTCTTTGTTTTTAGATTGTCAAATCTATTTAGCATTGGTAAGATATCAACCTACTTTTCCCGTTGTCAGAGCCATTAAGTAGGCGCTTTGTGTGAATCTGTAAATGGCAAGACAAATTAATCGTTGGGATGACTACAAGACTCGTTGGGAGTTGCTTTGGATGCTTTTGGCTTCATAATAACAATGCCATGTATAGATTTACTGATCGTAATTTAAGATCTTGCAGATATATTGTCGGGCTACATTGTCATTATTCAATTGCACGTTGCTGAAGATTATGGATGAATAAATTCGCGTGCTTAAAATTGATCCTTTTTGCAGTCCAGGCTGTACGCTTAAACCACTGGCGGCATAGAAGAATAATGCTCTAAATCTGTGTATATTATAACTTATAATTATAGAACAACCGATAATCACATACATACTCTACTTTACGTAGAGCCAAAATAATTTCCCAAACCCAGTAAACGCTTTACGAAATATCCCTAGTTTTATTTTAATTAAAGCAATTACTTTAATCATGTCTGTCATTTCGTTTTTACAGTCTTGATTTAATATCAGTGTACTATTTTTACAGCTCATACAGGTGCACTTAAGTACTAGAAGTACTTAGCTTTTAAAATCTGATAGATAATTACATCTCTTATTCATCGGCTTATTAAAAGTATATTTATTTACATATTTATAAAAAAAATTAAAACTATTTATCTAAAATGGTTATGAATTATTCTTCTAAAATTCCATTGTATTGCTTCTCTGGATATGTTTGTAAAAATTTTACATGAGACTTGAACAAAGAGTAATTTTGTCATTAATGATTTGTTTATGTTTGTATTGTAGATTTAAGTACTTTTTCTGGAAAGGTGCCATATTAAGAGTTTTTAATGTTTCTATTTACATATATATTATTCATTATCTTTTTTTCATTTAAAATAAAAACAAATACGTTTAAGCTCGTCTTATTATTTCACGAAAACATAGAAAAAGCAAAATCCCTAATTAAAAGCTGTTGGTTACTAAATATGGACAATAATGTATGAGATTCTAGTCTGGGAAGCTCTAACTTGATAATATGATTGGGATGTGTACGTACAGCCCAATTATTATGTACTACCCATTCAATATGAACTGCTAAAAAGACTATTCGCCACTAACAGAATATCACCTGAGACTTTTCCACAACTAGATTCGTTAACAGATTGTGCATTCAATGCTGCGCGAAGCGGTAACAGGAAATCGTTGTATACATTAGAGCTTAGCTGATAGCTTTCAATAGCCGAATAGATTGTTTTAAATAATGGTTGCTTATCGGAATGGAAATAGCCCCGATTACCATGTATTAGCTTTATGCCTGATCGAGAAGAATTGCAAATACTCATATACATACAGTGGTCTGGTCGATAGTTATATTCACATGGAATTATATATAGTTTGTCTGGGTGGTAATAAAAAAGAATATTTATAATATCTTGATCGCCCCACGTAATTCGTAGCTTAAATTCTTTATAAATAGGAAATACATGCTGCTCCCAATTGAATTGCCTCATGCGTGTTAGATTCATAAGCATGACTCCAGAGTTGACGCCAAGTCGTCCATAAAATGGATGGCGTGCAAATCGATTATACCACCCAATATTTTCATTTTCGTGCTCAGGCGCCAGAGCGGCGATTTGAGTTTCATTAAATTTTCCAAAATATTTCCATATATCCGTAATTGGAGATAAAAACAATATATCTGTATCAACATATAACAACGAATCAACATCCTTCAATAAAGACTAAAAATATAAGTTAATACAAATCATTAATATTAAATATTGATTTTTTTTTGTTTTTCATTAAGTTTACTTACAGGTAAGAATAGGCGTTGGGCGGCGCAAGGCTTAAACAGATTTTTCCATTCTTTCGCACTTTGATTTGGAAATTTTAATGACAATAGTTCAAAGTCAAATTGCTGAGAAAGTGTATCGCGCCAGTCAGTCAGTTTCTCGCTTATTATATCAGTTAATGGAGCTTCCGTAAATATTATAAATTTAATATATTCCTGATAATAATTATAAAGTAGAGCTGACTTTATCATAACTAGCGTCTCTTGAGCGCGTTGGCCACAGGCGACTGCAACAATATGAAAGGTGTTTTTCTTATGGCGCCTATCAAAAGTTACATAGAAATGTTATTAATTTTTTAATTTAATTTTAAAAAAATTTAAAATACACATGCAAACCAATTTGCCAAAATTAACATTGGTTATGGTATTTAAGATATTAACAATAGTTTTTCCTATTAGCTACTAAAAGCGGACATCTCCGTTTGACAAACAGTTCAATATAACCGAGGATGTCCGCTGTAGGGAGACTTCACATTACATATGTATCTATGTACATATCTAATATACCATACGTACGTACATTTCATTGGTTTCAGTGTCGGATTGGGCAGATGCTGCATGGTCCCAATTTGGACGCTCGTGAAATATGTACAAAATAGTCGTGAGGGCCACACAACTTAGAAAGCACATGTGGAAGTGCCGCTGAAATATAGTCATGTTAGTCAGACTTGTTACTATATAAGTTTATTGTTTACCATTTTGTTTCTGATATTGCTACATAGATACATTTATGCACATATGTATGTATATTTGTACAAGTGTGTTTGTTTGGATATCATAAAGCAGGGCGCTGCCCAATATAGTGTGTATGTATATATTATTATTCGAAGCTATATATCAGAGAGCAGTAATGATTGATCGCATTTTATATAGAAAAACATCAATTTATTTAGCATTACAAAATCAATATAAATATGTTTCATTGAAAAAAAGTAAATACTGTGTTGTGCTAGCCATGAACCAGTTCTTTTGATCTAAGTGATTCTTTATTTGGAGTTCTAGCTGCCGGCCGGATGGCGCGCTCTGGGGTGCTTGAATCTTATAAATACAATTTTATTAGGGAATGCCCCAAATCCGAAAATCAAATCAATCACATTTATTCATTGTCATATATGTTTTTGGAAATATTACTCTGTAAAAGAAATTATTGTTAAATATTTTTCTTTAGAAAGACAACACAAGTTTCTTTGGTTTTGGTATATTTTCTTAAAAGCATCAAAATGAAGTAATACGTTAAACAATAAACTATGTATATTTAGTTTAATTAATTTAAATAAAGGCTGATGGAACTGAGCAGAAATTATCCAATTGCAAGATTAAAGAGCAGTTGATAAAAAATATAGATAGCATCGATATATGTATATTGAATAATTGTATTGTAGGAGCAAATCCACTTCTAAGATATCGATATGTTAACCATCACTTGTATGATTTGTGACTCATACTTGACTATTCCAATTACTAGTAACAAGTGTAAATTCTTAGTAGAGGAATTTTTTTTGCCAAATTATAAATCAGGGATTTAATTTTGTATCTTTATTTTATACAACATGTCATACCAACATTGCGGAATGCCCGATCAGACGTTTCTTTGGGACGTATTTCAAAGGTATTTATATTAATAAAATTTGGCAACGTACGTATGTACATATGTATGTATTTAAATTTATATTGTAAATATACACGTAGACCCACATATACATATCTATGTACATTCGCGAAAGCACTGTTATACAAGTGTATGTTATTTATTCCATCGATATAACTTTGTATGTGCTTTAAGGGTCGATAAAGACAGGAGTGGATATATCTCTGCAGATGAACTACAGGTTGCTCTCTCCAATGGCACATGGTCAGCTTTTAACCCGGAAACAGTTCGACTTATGATCGGAATGTTTGATCGCCAAAACAGGGGAACCGTATCTTTCGAGGATTTCGGAGCACTATGGAAATATGTAACTGATTGGCAAAATTGTTTTCGCTCGTTCGACCGGGACAATTCCGGCAACATTGACAAGCAAGAACTTAAAACTGCTTTAACTTCCTTCGGCTATCGTCTATCTGACAATCTTATTGAAATATTGCTCCGTAAATTCGATCGCTTTGGCAGAGGAACAATCCTTTTCGATGATTTCATCCAATGCTGTATTGTTCTATATGTAAGTATTTTATTTTATTCTGCTTTATAACAATGAGGATATTTTGATGATATAAACTTAATTTATATTTATAATTAAAAACATAAAAAAAAAAACATATTTTGGTCTTAGTCATCAAATAAAAATATGCTTAATTATTTATTTACATTTTTTCATAAAGTAAAAATATTGATTATATCAATATACCGATATTGTTATAATATTTGTTATGATAGGTTTGTTTTATATTATATTGTTTTATATATATACAGTAAAATTTAAGTAATTTTATTGAGAAATCTTATCTACTTGTAAAAGATTTTAACACTATTTACATTAGATTACCAGCTTTGAAAATATGGTTTGGAGTACAATTGTATAAACAAAAATAAAGAAGAACTAAACAAGTTTTAATTAGATAACTTAAAAAATTTATTAATAAACAATTTTATTTAATTGCAGACTTTGACTACAGCCTTCAAGCAACATGACACCGACATGGATGGGGTCATAACAATCCACTACGAACAGTTTTTAAGCATGGTTTTTTCACTTAAGATTTAATAATCAAATGTCAAATTTATACTATACAAATGTAACTTTATATGTATACAAATATGTAAATAGCCTGGATGATCTACTTTTTAAAGAGCCAATATTTGTGAACTTGTTATCCCATCCTCAAACTATAAATTTAAATAATTACTATCGTAAGCAATTTTGTTAGACTTTTAAGCTTATTGTATAATATTTGATATAATACTAAAATTTAAAATCTTTATTTCTTTATGTAAATCTTAAAAACTAAACATTGTTATTAAAATTTTTTGATGTAACAGCATAGTGAAATTATATACATACATATTTAAATAATTTTAAATCAAGTCTGGATAATTATACATTGGAACTGCAGGAGCCGTCTGAATGTGAAAATTGACAACAGAATTCCAAGTCTTATTTCTAGACGCTAATTGTCTTATGAATATTAAGTTTTGTGATAATTCATTAATTCATTCATTTGCAGTGGAACCGATGACTTGTAGTATTCTCGTTCAGAAGTAGTAGTAGGGGTGGTGAATGTAAGTAGTCTGCTCAGATTCTCGCACAAATTTATATTGCTGAAAGATTTATTGATTTATTACATTAGAAAATAATAGCAATATTATATACTAATATACTAATTTTTGAATCGGTTATTTTATAACCAGGTAGAAGCAATATTTTTTTTTATTTTTTTTAATGGAAACACTTTTCCATTACTTATGAGCAGTGGAAACAGTAAAAATAGGGTAGCCTCAACTATGTAGAATCATATCTTTGTTTAAATAAACGAAGAAAATATTTATTGAAGTTTAACAATAACTTATATATACCAGTTATCATATTCTTGGCTATCATGCTCATTATAATTTACGGCTCGAATTTCTCTAACCACATTCAGTTTTGACGATATATATCGATATAAATATGTACAGTGACATTATTTTTTACCATTTGCAACCGGCAGAACAGTGTGCGTAGAAACGTGTCATGAAAAACGTGTTTCATTGCCAGACATTTCACGAACTAGTTCAGTTCTTATGATTCTTTACCCATCTCATTTTGTTACAGTTAATTACTTTGTTTCGTCTGTAAAGAATGAAAAAAGTATATTGTCGGCATTCGTATCAGCAGAAATAAATTTGTCCTTTTAAGCAGGCCGCGTTTAATAAACTAATTTTTTAAATTGTGTAACCTAAGAGTGCATTACCTTAATAAAATATTTCAGAAGCAAAGCAAAAATGTCTGAACTTCAATCATCATTGCTATTGAAGAAACAATTGGCAGGTATGTTACACATGTCTAATTATGAGCGTATGTAAGAAGTTATGCATGTATGTACATATTATACATAGGGAAGAACAGCAGAAATTGTAGCGCCATTAACAGGTATATGTACATATACGCACGCATGCCACGATGTACATATGTACATACATTCATACATACTTATGCACATAAGGCATTAATTTAATTGGAGCACATTTCGTTGTCAACTAATTAATAGAAAAAAGTGCATAAACGTATATTTATGAACAAATATACATATGTATACTTGAGTATTTTAATGTATGTGTAAAAATGTATATACCCGCTGCCGTATATATATAAATATATGAAAATATTTATATATATAGCATGTACATATATATAATTAACATATAATTTCTATATATACGTATATAAATATGCATGCATAGCGTCTTAACCAAATCTTCTCTGTTATCACCCTTTTGATTGCCTCTTGTTTCTTTGTTATTATATTGGTGGTGAAGAATATTTTCTTGAATCACCACAATGACTATGTACATATGTGCCACAGCCAATGCTCGATAAACGCATGTACATACGTACATATGTATGTACATTAGTTGGCGTGTATCTATGTATATATAAGTAGCTTGGTAAATAGACAATTTAATGAATGGTGTTAATAAGTTTACAAAAAAGAATTGATTTTAAAGCTATATATATACATATATGCAAAAATAAGATATCTTCTTCTGCAATGAATACCAATATCATATTGTATCAGCATATATTCTACAATATATAAAAATACCAATATTTGTATCAGCATATATTCTACAATATATAAAAGTATATTTAAATTAATATCTATTAGTTTCAAAAGAGTAAAGAAAATTCAATCATATATTTTTATTTATTCATTCATGATATCCTAAATTTTGGCTATGTAACAAGAATGTTAATACACATTCGTACGTAGATGAATATTATTTTACATTTATTCATATCCAATTTCAAAGAGTATTTAAGATTTGTTGAGTCGTTCGAGAAGTCTTCAAAACACAATTTTTATTTTGATTGCTCATCGATATTAAGATCTAAATTGATAATTTAATATACGAGTGATTTACGGTACAAACTAAGTTCACGGCTTAAAGACTGTCCCTGGAGCTGGGCTTATTCTTGCTGCACTGATCGACCTGATGTTTGCTGATAATAATGTATTCGTTTCAGTAATTTTAGATTCTTCAGCTAATACAAACGAAATTTTGCAAGTCACTGCATTTATAATGTATAGATATATAACTGTACTGCTAAGCAATATACATATATCTATGTACAATAATATTCAATTCAAAATTGTTTGACTCAAATAGATATACATAAAGCTTTAGTAACGAGAATAATATGTTGATAAGAGATTTGTTTGGTCGACTAATATTCTATATTTTTTAAGACAATAGAAAATTTCTGTTGTGAAAATTATTAAAATCTAATTAATTACAAGAGATAGCACGATTTTATAAAAGACTTTTAAACTAATATTTTATATATATATATAATTTTCACAAAAGAGCTTTGTTTAATATAATTGCTTTAGGAAATGTGAATAATTTTATAATCTAAGATCTATATATAAAATACATCGTTATATAAGTTCAATGAGTTACAGAAATATTTGATAATCATATATATATACATATATTTTAACAATACCAAATTCTTATTATTCTTTTATTTCAGAACTAAATAAGAACCCAGTAGAAGGTTTCTCAGCTGGATTAATTGATGAGAATGATATATTCCGTTGGGAAGTCCTAATAATTGGACCACCAGACACACTTTAGTAGGTTTATTACAGTAAATATATTTAAATAACATACAATTAATATATTAAATGCGATCCGATCCCATAAAGTAAATATCGTTTATATATTAATAACTATATGATCCTCGTGTGCTTACAAATTAAGCCAATGATAGACTGAAAATAGAATTCATAATTGAAACTCGTTGTAATCGAAAGAATCAGAGCTGCATATTTTTGTTTTGTTTTGGGGATTTTCATTAATTAATTTATTTCATTTTCAATTTTGCTTGGATTAGTTGACTGCGTACAACCTTCCTCTTTAGTGGCGCCAGGAAAAGTCTGCAGTCCCATTTGCAATGGTGCGTACTCTAAGTGGGTTCAATGCAAACCCTGTTAACCCTGTACCTAAAGCTTTAAACCGCCACACCATCCACTACTGTGATGCATTGCCATGAAGAAAGTGAACATATATTCTTTGACATCTTCTGTCATTTATTTAGAAAAAAACTTTTTAGTTGTAAACTTGTAAACTTTTACATAATTTCACGTTAAAATGCTGGCAAGCAGAGCCTTGGTGTACCTTTATTTTAACTATTTTAAATTAAATTTGGATTTATAAGTTTTTAGCTCCACGACTACGCTGGGATGGATAAGAATGTATAAATATTTTTAGTCCTCAAATCAAAGGAACTTATTTAATTTGGAGAAATTGAAGTGTAATTGATTGAGCTCTTGGGTGCCTTCGAAATTGATAAATATATTGCGGTTAGATATTTAGATTTATGATTTATGATTTCAGATTGAATTATATAAAACTAATTTATATAAACATTTTTATGGAATCATACAAACTACTTTTAGCTAGTTGCTGGTGGTATTTTATAATAGTGTCTGACTTAACGTCAAATTAAAATAGATTTTTTTTAATATAAATATTTTTTATAAGGTCGACAATTTTTCAGGCTAACCTCGTATATATTTTATGCATGTGAAAAATTTTTTATATTCATCAACCTCATTGAAAATGGTGTAAGATAATGGTATGATATGGTACAATTAAATAATTTGTTAATAAATTAGCAATAAAGTAAATCCTTTGTATCAACTGTAGAGTCCATCCCACCACGTCCGTACGTCAGTGAGCATGTATGAAACTGTCGATTTCGATACCTTTCAAAGCGAGAAACTTTGCCTTCGTGTATTTCGTATAATTTATCAGATTCAATTCTTCGTCCTTGCTTTGCTACCTCTCTCACTTTCTTCATAAAATCGGGAAATCATATTTAAAATTATATTTATATATGGTATCAAATACCATATCTCTATCATGATAGTTGAACTGTAAAGCACAAAAAATTGTATGAAATGAATTGCGTTTAATTGATTGTAATTAGCATTTATACATTTCTCTTATAAAAACTATATATTTTTTAATTTTCATTATATTATGCAATTACTATCAATAAAATAGGTTTAATAATTTTTTGTATTGAGGTCATATAATATAGAAATATGTATTACTTAATTATCCTTCTCGTTCTATTTGAAAGCTAAGATATTGAAGGTCGTATTGAGTGTCTTGGTTTTCATCTAGGCTAGGTTTTATAAATCATAATAGTCGGAAGCAATGTAAGTGCTCAAACTTGGCTCAGTTTGTCTGGTATCAATACTTTCTGAATAATATTTTTTGTCTATTGTGGCAAATGCTAAGCGGCGTGGATGCGTTCAAAAACTTAAATCCTGACTTATCATTTCCCCCTATGTTAATATATACAATAGATTTATCAATATTTTGATTAACGTATTTGCTTTCCTTTTTTTGTGTTTCATTAACAGCGAAGGAGGTTTCTTCAAAGCGCATTTATACTTTCCTAAGGAGTACCCTCTGCGTCCACCTCGAATGAAGTTTGTTACGGAAATTTGGCATCCAAATATTGAAAAAAATGGCGATGTCTGTATTTCAATTTTGCATGAACCTGGAGACGACAAATGGGGCTACGAAAAAGCATCAGAGCGTTGGTTGCCGGTACACACAGTGGAAACTATTTTGATATCCGTGATATCAATGTTAGCGGATCCCAATGACGAGTCCCCAGCAAACGTTGATGCTGCCAAGGAATGGAGAGAATCCTACCCCGATTTCAAGCGCAAGGTGGCACGTTGTGTCCGGAAAAGCCAAGAGGAGTGTTCGTAGAAACAGGATTTGCTCTATATTTGTATATTTATATTAAAAATTTGATACATTAAAATGAATAACTGAATTAATAGACATATAAACTCAAATTCTTATATTGAAAATTTTATTTTAGAAGTTATATGAGCTAAAGGGGAAAAATTTAAACGAAATTATCTAATCCCTCAACCCAACAACGCCCAAAAATGGCAAAATGGCAAAAAAATGCGATCAGATTAACTGGACTGCATGGGTCATTCTGCCATCACGTACTACTCAATGAAGGAGTTCGAGTAGTTGATGTGATGAATCGTAGTCAGCTCTCGCTGTCCTTGAGGAGTTGAAATGATGATAATGGTAAAGGCGAAGCTCGTTTTCCAAAAAAATAAATGTTGATTCGAAGCCTGGCTTGACATATTTTATACTAAATTACACGGCTCTAATATCACCGCTATTGAAGCTAGAGACTTAAAACATGTACTCATATGTTCTCAGGTGCCCACATCTTATAGTCTTGAGATGTTCTCTTAGCGTTCACTAAATAAGGGCGTGTCGATTTAATATTTGTTTGCTTTTT